TATTGTTGGCTATTGCTACATATCCCCCAGCGACTTAACACTGCTTTTGTGCTGCAGGGACACACATTTATGCATTAATTTATTTGTTTGTGTAATTTACTTTTACATTTATATAACAATAAATAATGTCTAATTAAACAATGGAATATTCATATTTCAATTACATATTAATTTTAATTGTATATTCATATTTGTAATATTTTAAATACATTTATTGAATTTTAATGTTTAGTAACCTTGATTTATTTTAGGAATGTATTTTAATGAATTGTTTTATTTTTGACATTTTTTAAAACTTTTAAATAATTTCAATTTAAATGTATATCAAATTATATTCATATTTTAATAACTAAGTGATTGATTAATTTTACATTTATTTTGATTAATTATTTAATTCATTTATAATTGTGTGTAGTTTTAATTAAATACATATTAATTAAGTGATATATAATAAATGTATGAGTATTTTAAAATTATATTTCAGTTTAAATTCATATTTTAATGTGTAATATACTTTTTATTGAATAACAACAATTACATTTTAGTTAATTAATTTCAATTAAATGTTTATATTACAGTTATATTAATATTTTAATTTATATGAATATTTCAAGAATTACATTTACTTAAGAAATGTACATTTAAGAACTAAAAACTTATTTTAATAACATTTTACATTTACTGAATTTTATTATTTAGTAACCTTAGTTTATTTTATGACTGTATTTTTATGATTGTTTATATTATACTTATTTATATCATTAATATTTTAATAATTTAATGACTTTTAATTAACAGTTTTGCATTTATTGAATTTCAGTGTTTAGCCACCTTGATTTATTTTATGAACGTATTTTTTTAAATTACTTTGTGTGTCATTTTAATTAAATCAAATCTTATTTATAATTTACAAATAATGTAAAATTATTTAAAAGCAAATTGCAAATTTTAATGATTTTCTGTTACAATTAAATGACACAAAATAATTAATTTGTGAAACATAAGTTAATAAAATAAATCAAGGCTATTAAAACATGAGTATATATATATATATTAATATTTAATTTCATTTACTTTTAATAAAATTTAATTTTTTTTTATTTCAGTGTTTAGCAACCTTGATTTATTTTATGAACGTATTTTTTTTAATTACTTTGTGTCATTTTAATTAAATAAAATCTTACATTTTATTTTTTATTTTATTTTAAATAATGAAAAAAATTTATTAAATGTATATTATTTTAATAATTTATTTTACTTTAAATTACAATTTTAGATTTAGTACATTTGAATGTTTAGTAACTTTATTTATTTAACTTTTTATGAATGTAATTTAATGAATTTGTTTAATTTACTTTCAATGAAATAATTAAAAGTATATAACTGATTTTTTTTTATTATGTTGCATGATTTCATTTGAATTATTGTAATAAAGACATGTATATATGTTAACTTCAGCAAACGTCTACAAGAGTTTTTGAGTGTCTGAATGCTGATGTTCTCTCAGATATTGATGAATGCACGGCGCACAGGATGCTTGTGTACATCTTCTAGTCATTGTGGCAGCAATAATTTATATAATAATTTATATAAATAAAAAAATTTCAAATTGAGACTGAATTTGAAAGCCACACTTTAAAAGACCAACCCAACTAATGACTCCTTAAATTATGTATATATATTATATATATATATATTTTTTCACTTTCTCTTTACTTTCACTTTTTTTATTTTATGCAAATGGAGTTTGAATGACATGCCTTCAGAAACTAACCCCCCTAATGACTGCTTATATTTTATTTTATTTTATTCAAATAAACCCTGAATTTGAATGTCACAAATTCAAAAACCAACCCATCAAATGACTGCTTAAATCATTTTTTAAATTTTTTTATTTAATGGCTGCTTAAATCATTTAATTTTATTATTTTAGTTTAGTTTAGTTTTTTTATCCAATTTAAAAAAACTTCATTTGAAAGCCACACCTTAAAAGAGCAACCCAACTAATGACTGCTAAAATTACTTATATTTATTACTTTATTTTATTTTATGCAAATGGAGTTTAAATGACAAAAACTAACCCACCTAATCACTGCTTACTTTTTTTAGTTTTACGTTTTATTTTTTAATTTTACTTTGCATTATCATACATTATTTAATTTTATTTTATGCTAATTTTATTTAAATAGAGCCTGAATTTAATGATGCTTAAATGATTTATATTTATAATTTTTTAAACATCAGCGTCTGGCTGATCTTGTGGCTGATTTTCACGAGCCCTGTAGTGGAACACACTTTTTTTAGTGCATTCGTTCCTGCGAAACATTTCTCTCCACATCTTCATCAGACTAATTATAAACCACAGACTAAAGAGCTGAGTCTGATGGGATCTTGTGATTGTTGTGGCGTGTTTTGTCAGACCGTAACGAGTGTCAGGAGATCCCGAACGTCTGCAGTCACGGCGAGTGCATCGACACTCAGGGCAGCTTCCGCTGTCTGTGCCACAACGGCTTCAAGACCACGCCGGACCAGACCATGTGCATGGGTGAGTGTCTGCAGCGGTTATCGATCGCTCTGAATCACGTGTGATGGGCTGAATCTCACTGTCTCTGGCAGATATCTATGTTTCCATAATCTGATTACGTGTAAAAATGTTCTTTTTCCTTTAATCAGAATGAAACTTTACATTTTAAAATTGATTTGAAACTTTTTCTAATGTGAGTTTAACCATTTAACTCTTTAAATAAACAATTAACCATTTAATATCGCAAAGAAATGTGCATATTATCAGCATTATTTATGTATTGTTGTATGAGTTTGAAATAGTTTAAAATAAATTGTCTAATTACAAAGTTTCATTTTGATTACACATTTCTTTACGATATTAAATTGTTAATTATATATTTATGAGTTTAAATGGTTAAAATCACATTATGAAAAGTTTCATTTTGATTAAAGGAAAGGAAACATTTTAGTCTTTAATGCTGATAATATGTATATTTATTTATAATATTGCATGGTTAAATTATGTATTTAAACAGTTTAAATGGTTAAAATCACATTATAAAAAGTTTAAAATAAATTGTAAAATTGTAAACTTTTATTTTAATTACACATTTATTTACGATATTAAATAGTTTATTATGTATTTAAAGAGTTTAAATGCTTAAAATCACAATAGAAAAAGTTTTAAATAAATTTTTACATTTTAAAGTTTCAATTAGATTAAAGGAAATGAAACATTTTTTTTTTATTTTAAACTTTTTAGTGATTTTAACCATTTAAACTCTTTTAATTAACAAATTAACATTGTTATTCCTTTTTCCTTTAATCAGAATGAAACTTTACAGTTTTAAAATTGATTTGAAACTTTTTCTAATGTGAGTTTAACCATTTAACTCTTTAAATAAACAATTAACCATTTAATATCGCAAAGAAATGTGCATATTATCAGCATTAATTATGTATTTAAAGAGTTTAAAATCACATTAGAAAAAGTTACAAATCAATTGTAAAATTGTAAAGTTTCATTTTGATTAAAGGAAAGGAAACATTTTAGTCTTTAATGCTGATAATATGTATATTTATTTATAATATTACATGGTTAAATTATGTATTTAAACAGTTTAAATGGTTAAAATCACATTATAAATAGTTGAAAATAAATTGTAAAATTGTAAAGTTTAATTTGGATTACAAATGTATTTCCGATATTAAATTGTTGATTATGCATTTAAAGAGTTTAAATGGTTAAAATCACATTAGAAAAGGTTTTAAATTAATTTGTACATTTTAAAGTTTCAATTAGATTAAAGGAAAGGAAAAATTTAAAATGTATTTTGAACTTTTTAGTGATTTTAACCATTTAAGCTCTTTTAATTAACAAATTAATATTGTGAATAAGCAAACTCTGACATTTTTAAATGCACATACAACACATTTCTTTTGCATTGTGACATTTACTATTTAAACTCTTTAAATACATAATTAACCATTTAATATCTTTAAAAATTGCATATTATCAGCAAAGGCAAAAATGTTTCCTTTCATTTAATCAGAATGAAACTTTACAATTTTAAAATGTGTTTTAAATTTTTTATAATGTGACTTTAACCATTTAAACTTTTGAAATGCATAATTAACCATTTAATGGTGTAAAGAAATGTGCATATGATCAGCAGTAAAGACTAAAATGTTTAATTGTCTTCGATCAGAATGAAACTTTACCATTTAAAATGTATTTTAGACTTTTTATATTGTGATTTAAATAACAATTAACCATTTAATATCTAACTTTTAAATATCTTGAATATATGAATAGATTTGCATGTCAGCAATAATATAAATCCCACAGAAGATGCTTTTATTTTTGTTTTAATGTGGTTGTCAAAGTGTTAATTTTATACAATTTTTAAGATAAAATGTCTCTTAAAATGCTTCAACGGAAATCTGTTTTTGCATTTAGGGTCTTAATCTTTTGAAATGAAATGTTATGCTAAATAAGAGCAAAAAAATGTGCAAATGTACATGCAAAGATAATGCAGTCATAAATGTCCGTAAATACTGTTGGCTATTGTTTTGGATGTTTTATGAAAATCTTGTAATTGAAGTTGCCACATACTGCAGGAGTTCACAATACAGATCAGCGTTTGTTATTGATTCTGAGGGTTGGATGTCAAAGTTTTTGTGATCACAGTGAAAGCAGAGGTGGTTTATGGTGAGGAATGACTGTGAAGGGTTAATGGTGTGATGTGTTGGTGTTCAGATATCGACGAGTGCAGCGTTCACGCCAGTCAGGTGTGCAGGAACGGCCAGTGCATCAACAGCATGGGCTCCTTCAGGTGTCTGTGTCTGGATGGCTATAACCTGACGCCGGACGGCAAGAACTGCGTCGGTGAGACTCGCTGCTCGTTAACCAGCTCATCAACCTGTTACTGTACACTCCTGTAGCGCGTTAACGCTTTACAGTCCTCACCGGAGATCAACACGGCCTTCCAGTCCATCCAGAGAGATAATTAAACACCTCAACATCCATACGATTGATTCAGAGAGTGCAGATCTCCAGAGAAAACTCGCAGCTTTCTGCTCTTTAGTTCAGAGACACATCTCGTGTTTTAACCCATAGACCCAATTAGCGAATTAGCATCAATCTTTGAAGTAAAAGTACAGTTTGACGAAATAAGAGTAATCGCACTCCTAAAATAACAGTCCCCATGCATGTTGTTGTTGTTGTTTGTTTTTTGTTAGCAATATAAATATTTATTATTTACATTTAATACCTATAGCGTGTTTTTATAGTTGTACTTATATAAAATATTTTTAAATAATATTGCTAATTTATAAATATAGAAAATATTTTTTATATATTTTATAGAATGTTTTATATAATATATTGCCATTAATATATATTAATTTGCTTAAACATTGATCATTTACTCTCTCTCTCTCTCTATATATATATATATATATGACAATTGGATCATGTAGGGTGCTTTATTATTTGCACCTAGTGTAAATAATAAAACTCAAAAATATATATTTATAAATATTAAGTATTTATTAATTAAAATTTAAATATTAATTAAAATTAGCTTCATAAATATTTCATTTAAATATCAATATTTTGCAACAGAATTAGATCACAGGGTGTTTTAATAGTCATATTTAGCATTAATTTATATTTTACATAAAAATATTAATAAATGAAATGTATACATATTTTATATCTATTGCATTTATAATAGATTTTCATATATTTTATAGAATGTATAAATATAATGCATATAGATTTTATATCTATTATATTTTATATAATGTATAAATATAATATATACAGATTTTATTATATATTTTGTATTTCAGATATATTTTATATAATGTATAAATATTAAGTTAACCACTATTGTTAGATACATGTGTGTGCCAAACACTGCTTAGATTTTTTATATAATTAAAAACATATCATCCTGTTATCAAAGCTGGTGTTTTGAATCATTTAAACAGCTGTTTCAAATTGCTATCTTGGCTGTAGTCTAGTAGCATGTACTGCGTGCATGAGTGTTGTGTGATGTGCTGTAGACAGTATAATGTGAGTTATGTGTGTGTCAGATATTAACGAGTGCGTGACGCTGCCGGGAGCCTGTCAGCCGGGGACCTGTCAGAACCTGGACGGCTCGTTCCGCTGCATCTGTCCGCTCGGATACGAGGTGCAGAACGACAAGTGTGTGGGTAAGAGTTCAGAGCAGGAACCGCTTCACACACGGCCGCTCAAAACTGTGTGGGATCAGTGAGACTCCTCATGTTTGTTAAAGAAGTCTCTTCTGCTCATCAAGGCTGCATTTATTTGATCAAAAATACAGAAAAAAACTGTAATCTTGCAAAAAATTATTACAGTATAAAATAACGCTTTCTATTTTAATATCCTTTCAAATATAATTTATTTCTGTGATGCAAAGCTGAATTTCCATCATCATTACTCCAGTATAAAGTGTCACATGATCTTCAGAAATCATTCTAATATGCTGATTTATTATTAGAACTATTAATGTTGTGCTGCACAATATTTTTTTTTTGGAACCTGCGATACTTTTTTCAGGATTCTTTGATGAATAAAAAGTTTTAAAAGAACAGCATTTATTCAAAATATAAATCTTTTCTAACAATTCTGTCACGTCTTAACAATTTAAAGGTGACATATTATGCCCCTTTTTACAATGTGTAATATAAGTCTCTGGCATCCCCAGAATATGTCTGTGAAGTTTCTGCTCAAAATACTCCACAGATCATTTATTATAATATTTTGTGGATTTAGTGGAAGCAGAAACACGCCGTTTTTCGTGCCTGTCTCTTTAAATGCAAATGAGCTGCTGCTCCCCGCCCCCTTTTCCAGAATAGAGCTGCGCCTTTACAGCTAGTACCTGCTAAAAACATCTGTTTTGGTTCTGATTATCATGTTAATCGCGCTGAAATCATGCGTTTTAAACCATATGAGTTTAAACTTCTGATATACGGTTTTCTGAGCGCACACATCTGAAGCACACGCACAGAAAGCGGCTGTCACAGCATGAGTACTAAACTAAGTTCTCATTCACACACAAGTTTACGTTAAAAACACACGAGTTACACAAACAGTGGGTTATGTCTGTGAAGGTAAACAGCTGGGAAATAAATCACATGTTTATTTTAGATCTGTGTGGCAGCAGCAATATACAGTAAATACATCCACTGCTCTCTCGTCTCTGAGGCTGGGACTCTAAACAGTGTTCTGTGCTCGTCTCTGCAGCCAAAGACAGAGCAGTTAGCATGTTTTGCTCAAACTTTCGCCATGGCATTAGAGCTGGTACACCGTTGTCGCTTGCGAAGTCAAAATGACGGTGCCTTGAGTGGAAGTTTACAGATTAAGGGGCGGTGATATTATAATGAGATCCCTTTGCCACGCCACCAAGCGAGCGAAATCAGACGCGCTCGTTTTCTCAGACGCTTGCAGAAAAAGGCTTACAAAACAAAGTTACTGGGTTCATCTTTTTCATGTTTACTTTGTTGGTAGATGCACCGGGGACATGATTATAGCACTTAAAACCTGGAAAAGTCAGATTTTCATGATATGTTACCTTTAACACATCCTCGCTGAATAAACGTTTTAATTTCTTTCAAAAAAAGAAAGAATAAAAATGTACTGACTTCAAACTTTTGAACGGTAGTGTATATTGTTAGAAAAGATTTCTATTTTAAATAGATGCTGTTCTTTTTAACGTTCTATTCATCAAAGAATCCTGAAAAAAGTATCACAGGTTCCCAAAAAAATATGAAGCATAATAAATCAGCATATTAGAGTGATTTCTGAGATCATGTGACACTGAAGACTGGAGTAATTCAGCGCTGCATCACAGGAATAAATTCGATTTGAATGTATATTTAAATAGAAACACGTTATTTTACATGGTAATAATATTTCACATTTTTCCTGTATTTTTGATCAAATAAATGTAGCCTTGATGAGCAGAAGAGATTACAAATGGTTCTGATCCCAAGCGTTTGAGCGGTAGAGTACTTCCACTTGACCTGTTTGTCCCGCACAGATATCAACGAGTGCAGCGTGGAGCCCAGCATCTGTCAGTTCGGCTCGTGTAAAAACACTGCGGGCAGCTTCCAGTGCATCTGTCAGCCTGGCTTCGTTCTGTCCGACAACGGCCGCAGCTGCTTCGGTAACTCCTCTTATTCCAGTCATCATTTGAAGTGAACCACCTTATGAAGCAGACTTTTATTGTATGAATCCGTGTTATGAATCATTCTAGTGTAGTTGTGCACATTTATAAAAAAAATAATAATAATTTGTTTAAATATTGATATTTTGTTATTATAAAAAAAATTGAGAAACATTTTAAAATTAATAAATTGTCCTAACTTTTATGCAAAAATTATCATTTAAATTCAACAAACCATTTAATAATTCAATAAAATCTGTATCACTCTAAATTCTGTTTTTATGTTTGCTATTTAGAACTTGTTATTTGAATAAAGTCGTGTTTAATTAGTTGTACTTAGTGTAAATTTATGAATAAAATATAAATGTTCATAATTATCCATTTGTTGAAATATTTACATTTCGCAGTTGAATTAGACGAAATTTGAATGATTTTTTTATTGAACTAAATTAATAAACTTAATGAATAAAACTTAATAAACTTTGCTTTAATTAATAAATCATTTAAAATGAATGTAACATTTAGTAATTTTAATTTTGTATCAGTTAATTTAATAATGTAATAACAATGGTCTTGTGTAATTAATAAACTCGTCTAAATTGCATAAGATTTTTAGTCATTTTAATTTTCATAGTTTAATTCAACAAAAATGTAATTATTTAATAATAATAATAGTTTTTTATAATTAGTGACTTGTTTTTATTATTGTGAATAATTAATAATATTTTTTAAAAACTAGTAATTTTAATTTGTTGAAACATTTAATAATTTAATAAAGTGTTTTATGTAATTAAATTGAATTATTTATTATTTAGATCATTTAATTGAATGAAAAACTGAATAATAGTGTTTTATATCATTAAGATATTAATATGCATGCATATTTTAAATATATTTTATTTATTATGGAGTACTAATCTTTCATATATTTTGTATGTTTTATATAATATGTCAACACATAAAGTAAATGATTTATTAGTTGTACTTCATGTAAATGTATAAATGAAATAATTATTCATAAATATGAATTAGTCTAAATACTGATATTTTGCAATTGCGTTAGATCATATAGGCTGTTTCATTAGTTGTATTTAGCATGAATTTATGTTACATAAAACAGTTATAAATTATATATTTGACATAAATTAATAAAACATTTTATATAAGTGATTTTATACTTTTTTATACAATGTTGTCTTTTATAATCAAGCAATAAGCCCCAAGAAGCTGTAGTTTACAGTGAATTTATAACAGCTAAGGGGCGTTGTTAAGCACAAATAAAGTGTAAAGATATTAATAAAAACAGTATTATTCTGCCAAACAATGTAGCTCCTCAGAAACAGTTGTGGTTGCTACAAAGTGTTTGCCGAGCAACACACAGAAGTAAACAAAGCTGTGTGTTACTTTGTAGCGTCATTTATAACAGCTTCGAACGCGGCTCAGCCAATCAGAATCAAGCACCAGAACTCTCCGCTTTATAACTATTGTTTTATGCATGTAAAGTAGTAGAAATACAATATAAGCATTCATCATTTTTCATATGCAATATTGGGGCATTCAGTGAAGTGCAGTATATATACTTGAGTGTGTTTGTGGTCAGACACGCGCGAGAGCTTCTGCTTCACGCGGTTTGAAGCGGGCAAATGCTCCGTCCCCAAACCGCTCAACACCACCAAAGCCAAGTGCTGCTGCAGCCTGCTGCCGGGCGAGGGATGGGGCGACCCCTGCGAGCTGTGTCCACGAGAGGCCGAGGGTCAGTCACTAATGAATACACAGATGATCAGCAGTCATTTTCTCATTATAATACTTTTAGATGTGAACAAATATAATACAAAATATAAGCTAGTATTATAGAAAGTATATATAAACTACCTGTAATGAATTATTTCATGCTATTTAAGGATCTGAACACATTTGTGAGCCTGCAGCACAAAAGCAGTGTTAAGTCGCTGGGGGATATTTGTAGCAATAGCCAACAATACATTGTATGGGTCACAATTATACATTTCTCTTTTATGACAAAAATCATTAGGATATTAAGTAAAGATCATGTTCCATGAAGATATTTTGTAAATTCCCTACCGTAAATATATCAAAACTTAATGTTTGATTAGTAATATGCATTGCTAAGAACTTAATTTGAACAACTTTAAAGATGATTTTCTCAATATTTAGATTTTTTCTTTTGAAAAATTCAAAATTATGACTAGTTTTATGGTCCAGGGTCACATATGTGCACTTCTAAGATGTATGCAGATGTTTTTTAATGTAATTTTTTTAAAAGATATATAGATAAACATACATTTTGTAAGAAAAAAATTTGTATTTTTGATTTAATTGAATAAAGATACATAGTTGCATAAATAGGTTTGTTGTCATATTAATTTCTAATTTAACAAAACAATTACATAGTTGAATAAAAATGGTTTAATATAATTAATAAATCACTCTAATTTTTACAAAAATATTTTTTTGTAATTTTAATCATTTAATTTAACAAAAAAGCTTTAATACAGTTGTTTCGTATATTAATAAATAGTTCTACGTTTTATAAAAATGTGTAATATTATTTGATCATTTAATTGAACAAAAAACAATAGTTTCATGAAAATGTAACTAAATTAAATAATTGTATAATGTTTTATATAATTATTAAATCGTTCTAATTTTAATACATTTTAGTCATTTTAATTTGAATCATTTAATGAAAAAACCTTAATACTTTAATACAGTTGTTTTCGTATAATTAATAAATAGTTCTCATATGCAACAATAAATATTAATTTCAGAAAAAATTCTAATTACTAAAAGATTCCAAATTTAATATAAATTTTAGTCATTTTAATGTTGATCATTTCATGGAGCAAAAAAAGTTAATTTAGTAATTGTTATAAATCGTTATAAGTTTTATAAAAAAATAAATAGTTATTTGGTAATTCTGACCATTTAATTTAAAGTTGAATAATACAAGTTTTTGTATATAATTATTAAATCATTCAAAATTTTAGAACAAAGTAATAACATTAATTTTGATTATTTAATTTAACAGAAAATTGAATAATAAATTTTTTTATAAATTTTAATCATTTAAATGTATTTAATTAATAAATCCTTTCTATCTTTTATTACTTATTTTATTTTTCATAATATATTTTAATAAATATTTAATAATTTAATAAAATTGTTTTATATAATTTGTCTTAAGTGTCAATTTTTCAAAATTGAGATTTATAGATCATGAATAAATACGCTTTCCATGGATGTATGGTTTGTTAGGATAGAACAATATTTGGCCGAGATACAACTAAAATATTTGAAAATCTGGAATCTGAGGGTGCAAAAACATCTAAATATTGAGAAAATCATCTTTAAAGTTGTTCAAATTAAGTTCTTAGCAATGCATATTACTAATCAAACATTAAGTTTTGATATATTTACGGTAGGGAATTTACAAAATATCTTCATGGAACATGATCTTTACTT